ATAATGCGCTATGCACGATGCACGATGCACGTACTAGTTGCTCGCAGTGTCAATGAAATTTCCGCCAGCATCAAAGTATGCGTCCAGGAGCTTGAACGACGACTCCTTGTCCATCGCACCAAATCCACGCTCGGCCCACTTGACACCGATGCTCATCCCTCCAAGCACCAGTGGCGACACATGGATAGCGGCGCGTGGGGCAAGCTGGCGATACCGGCCGAGCTTGGTGGGCGGAGTCGCTGCGGGAGAGAAGAACGGCATTGTGAACGGGTTGGCTGACGATGGCTGGCGATTGGTCGCCTTGGTTGGGATGTCCAGAGGTACACTGAGGGGCGCGCAGCTGTAGATTACGAACGGACGCCCAGTCCCGTTCTGCTTCTCAGTAACCTGATGCGCATGAGGGTCTCAGCTCGGGGTCCCTACGTCTGTGGATTGGGTTTGCACGCACACATATCACGGTCGTTCTCGTTGAGTGCACCCGTGATGATCGGGGGCAACCTCATTTGAACTTCGGGTCTACGACGGTATCTGGTGAATGTCGGACCCTGAGAAGGGCGCATTGCCGCAATCGAACATCCTGATCTTCTAGTATCATTCAGTGTTACTTCTGGCCGTCCTCCTGTACTGCAACAGTAACTTACCACACACTCCGGTCGAGCGTGGAGATTGGTCGCGCCCGTGGCCAGGGTCTGTTCCGGCGGTGAAACAGAGCTTAACCACGGCTGCTGTGCCTAATCATGGCATCGCACGCTCGACCTATCCAGGAAACGGTGTGCCAACCTTGTCCCTGCATCTTCTGATCGGGTGAGCGCCGTCGGATGTGCTTGATATGGGGCCCCGCTTCGAGCAGGCTGCAGATGTGCAGGCCATCGCAAACGCACTGGACCACTCGAGGCGCCGAAATGCAGACGCAGTTGCGGCCATATGCCTCGCGAGACGCCGCGGCCCGGGTGCACCCCAAGTGCTTATTGCCAACAGCGTATATTTTCTGATTACTCAGGGTGCATCCACACGCTGCATCAGGCAACGAGATGTTCGTCAAACTTGCCAGCGCTGCCCAAATACGTACGCATTATCAGGCTCCTTCCCGCCGCTGTGGGAGTTATAGGGGACTTCATCCGAATAGCGTACTCAATGTTTTATCTTGTGTATCCGAGAATAGAAGTCTTACCACAGATCATGTGCCGTCCAATCACGTGCATATCATGTGACATCCCATTTGAACCTTAATCCCCTATAGGGAGTTTTGGGGGTTTAAGGTTGGGATTCGGAGCTTGATCTTGCCTCGGATGTAGCCGGATTGTCAAGTGTGGCGGATGGGTTTGCAGGACTTAGCTTGCGTCAAATTTGTCGGATTGAGCCCCTATAACTCCCACAGCGGCGGGAAGGAGCCTGACGCATTATGGGCTTATGCTCCGGGTTTTGGTATTTCGCCCTACCCTTCGGATATTTCCGTATGTCGATCAAACCTTATATGTTCGCATTCTTCCTCTAGCGCATCATTGGCTCTCAACGTCGCGTGCAATAACTCGCGTGGAATAACTTATAATTTCGTGCATATATTCACATCATTCAACGCAACGATTAGCGTGTGGTCAAAGCTCGGTCTCGCAGTGATTACGATATTACACTCAGTCAAAGTACGTTCCGCCATCAATCGCCCATGTTTGGCCTAGCACAACGCACCATGAGCACTGTCTCTGAACTCGGAATATGACTTTGCGGCACACCTGTAACGTATCCCGCTTCCTCGCTCGCCCAATATGAGACAAGGCCAGCAACCTCCTCTGGGGTGCCCTGAGTGGGAAGGGCAGAACGATCTAGCCCTGTCATAATATGGGACAAGCTAGCAATTTCGAGAGCAGTATTGCTCACCTAGTTTGGCAATGACATCGTCCACTGCACAGGTAAAGCATCAGCCATGAGGTATGCGACCGGGGAGCGACGCGTACGCATAGGAGTAGTAATGAAACCAGGCGCATACGCGTTCACAGTGATTTTGTGTTGCTTGAGTTCCGCGGCTACAGCGGCGACCTCAGAATTTCTGCTACAGATCATCTGGTGCATCATACTGCTTACCGGACGCTTGAACTAGGCCTCTAACAGCAAACTTACTAGCGCAGTATGCACCTACATTAGCAGCACCTGAAATACTTTGAGTTCAGGATAGCGAGTACGTAGCACGGCTAACAATCTCACCTTGCTTTCCAGCAAGTGATGAGGCAACTACGAGTGCTAATCAGCACGCGCCATACGCCGTATGGGAGGTCGAGCGTATCCTACCGATGATCCTACCGCCTTTTCCTTGCTTGACCATCATGTTGGCGGCATGCTTGATGCAGAGGAACGCGCTCTTCGCATTGACATCCATGACTCTCTGCCAAGTCTCTACCGGGGCTGACCGTCATTAATGTGAGTACGCAAGACTTGGTGTAGCCAAGAGGACATATTCACTTGTCAGTATGCTTTCTGCTTCGAAGATACCGGCATTGGCTACCACCTGCAGACATCCATTATTGCGCTCTTTAAAGACATATGGATTGACATACAACGTCGAGGGATCCGAGTTCGGAGACGGTTTGGTCTACTAGTGCGACAACAGCTTCCTCGGAGGATACATCACCATACACGGCGACAGAGTTGCGTCGGTAGCCCCGAATCTCATTGACCAGTTGCTCAACGTCTGCGGCTTTGTGCTCCAGGTCGCTCACAGCAACATCGAGCCCGTCCCTCGCGAGACGCAGTGCGGCGGCGCGCCCAATGCCCTGCGCTGCACCGGTGACGAGAGCTGCACGGCGAGACGACATGACTTGGATAATGGAACGTTCAGGATATCGGAGTTTTCCCCTGTTCAACAGAGCCGTAGGAAGCCCACTCCGTCGCTCTCAGCCTGTCCGACCCTCGAACACAAGGCACGTGTGCGTCAAATGTTGTAACGCATGTTGCACAGAGCCGCCATGCAATTTCCATACCCAACGAACCGCAGCAAGGTTCTGTCAAAGATTCTAGGCTCTTTGACAGTCGCCGTTGGATAGTAGGCCCTACGAGGGTCCCAGTCCGACGTGCAATTCTGCACACCTCACCGGCGACCGCCGGTGTAGTGATGATACCCTTAATACGCACGGGAACCCCAAAGTTGCAGCTCACGCCAGATCTGATGGAAATCTCGACCCAATCCCTCGGGCAGGCGCGTCTCTTGAGCGTTCAAAACCTTCCCGACCCCTGGCACCGACGCGCAAGGTAAGTCCATACGATAGCATGATATTATCCATTTGAGGATGAGATGCGATGTGCGTGACCGTACTACGAGTTTATAGACATGCTCCCTGAAGGCCTAACCCGTCAAGCAGCTGTCCTCGACTCACATGTCTGCCGCAGAAGGTAGTAACGTATTCTCATCCTGGCATTCTATAGGCATCGTAGTTCTGCTCGCGGTGCTGTATTGGGCTGCGCATATTGTGCTTTCGCAGAGAAATTCAGTATGTCCCACATTCCACCGAATCAAATCCTCTCGTTCAACAGTATCAGGCAATCCCGGCTGTCGGGCCACAATGGCTCAAGGGACTCACCGTAGTCACCAGGCATCGTGAACAGCTTTTGTGGGCTTGTAGCCAGGTATTCCCACTGCAATCTTTGAGACAGTAGCACAGCTCACCTTCCCCAAGTATCCTGATAGACTCATCCGCATTCCTATATTTCCCTTCGGCGGGGCCGTAGTCGCCAATGGCTCCAAGCTCATCAATGAGATCAGGACGGGCCCGGATGATACGTTCTCTCCGAAGGGTGCTGTCGAAAAGGCAAGCGTCGAGGCCGCTTACTGACCAAGATTTTGATCATGTGTCCTAGTTCATCCAGTCCGCATACACGACTGGTTCGATAGTGGCCGAGACGGCGCTTCATAAGCCCATCATCCGCAACCAGTTCACGCGTAACGCAGACTCCGTCTTTCTCGATCTCATGGATGAGATCGTGTTTGCGTTTGACAATGTTCTTCACCTGCCAGAGAGTCAAGGTAAGACATCTTCCAAATCTCCTTGTACGTTCACGCTTCATCCGTCACCAGAGTGGGTCTCATTTCCAGCTCTCGATACCTTTGTGCAGGTACTCGCTGGATGCACAAACAGAGTCTTTGTTGGCCTTCCTCTATGTGCGTTGTTTTCGTCCGCTTCTGAAGCTATTGACGAGCAAGGAGACAGGCAGGAACAGGGAGTATCAGCAGATCGTCACTAACTACGCGACCCAGGTCGTCAAATCCGCATACATCATCAACATGTTTCCAGACTGGTGTCATCCGTGCGTGCCCCGACACTGTCGTTTGGTAGCCGAGAATCGCTGATTACCGCGTACCGGCAGAGTCATAGGCCGACTCGTGACAAGGCCACAGAAATACGTCGAGAAGCTCATCGGCATCCTCGGGCCCACCATCGACGAGCGCTGGAAGAGCTATAGAGTATACGGCAAGGAATGGGTGGACAAGCCCGTGGGCGCTCTCCCTGCGTATTCTGGAACGTGCTCACGCGAATCTCTCAGGACGACTTCCTGATGTGGGTTATGCAAGACGCCTCTCCCGGCTACCTGCAGTCCAATGAGGTGCTTGTAACCTATGTCCTATTTATAAACTTTGCGTCGATACACACGACGAGTATGGTACGCTCACCATGTGTGTATGCCTACTTCGACATTCTGATGGCGTTAACAGCAATTCACCCATGCTATGTATGACCTGGCGTCCCATCCGGAGTGCGTCGAACCTCTTCGCGACGAAGCAAGGGCAACCCTGCGGGATCACGGATGGACTAAAACGGCAATGGAGCAAATGCGCAAGCTAGACAGCTTCATGCGCGAGTCTGCCCGAATGGGTCCCACCAACCTCGGTATGTACCTGTGCAGCCTTGATCGTCCCTTACTCACTGTGCGCTTGCATGTTGTGCAGTATCGCTTCCACGCAAGCTGCTTAGAGACTGGACTTTCTCGGACGGCACGATGGTCAAGAAGGGCACGTACATGGGCGCTTCGACGTTCTCCGTTCACTTTGATGAAGACAAGTATGCGAATGCACGCATATTCGACCCGTGGCGGTTCTGCAAGGACGAGAAGAGCTCGGACAAGCTGGTCGCATCGAGCACCGAGTTCCTTGCGTTTGGTGCGGGGAAGCACGCCTGGTAAGTGTCCAGACGCGTCCATGATTGATAAAGCTGAAAGCCGCGGATGCAGTCCTGGACGGTTTTTCGCAGCAAACGAGATGAAGGCGCTGCTGTGCTTCGTACTACTAAACATGGACATCAAGCTAATGGATGGAAAGGGGCGGCCGACGGATGAGTATTTTGGAAACAGCATCATCCCCAACCGTTCTGCGCACCTTCTCTTTAGAAGGCTAGAGTGTGGTGAACGTCCCAGAATGATGGCATCCTAGGTTCATGTTGAATACTTCGGCTATCAAATCAGCATGACGGTATGAACGACGGTAGCGCGCCATGTTTCTGTTCAATAATTGACTTCAGCGCCGCACACGACGCAATAGAAATAGAACAATACTATATGCTTACTTCACTCAATCTGGAAACCAAAGGGCTGACGGGATTTCACACGAAGACACGTCTCAATGTATGTGTTGTAGTGCATAGTGCATTGGCACCACTGTATCAGAGGAAGAATCTTGATCATTATAATTTGTATATATTGACGGATCTCGAAACTTGAAGCCCTGTCAGACAGATTCGCGAACTTGAAGAGATCAGCAACGATGCGAGTCGCGCAAGCAGAAAATTGACATACACTGAGAGACAAGAGCGAGGTCAAAACGGCGCAATATCAAGGTACCTTACGCACCCAGGACATCTCCAATTTCTTGTTCCAGGTTTTATAAACCATCTCTTCTGCGGGAGGCCTCCTGAGAGCAGAGTACGCACGCATCCCGCAGGACTCCAATCGACCCAAAAAACCAGGTTTATGTCGAATACGCTATTTAATAGCGCATGTATATACTGCTACTCCTCATGCAGGCAGAACCAGCTCGTTCTACAGAATCATTCAAACATGATGTTGAAAATAAAATCTAGCTTGAGATAGATGTCATCATGTACCATAAAGTCTGCCGATAGCGAATACACAAGGCAGATGCGTGCGATTGCAATATAGGTTGGCCAAAGGGACACCGCTAAGATGGTCCTAATCCTTCCATTGCTCGCGGATGAACGCCTTATCACTGGCGCTCAAGTTGTGCTCAAAGGGTAGGAATGCGTCTCGTGATGCGATAAAGTCTCGCCTGACGATCTCTTCATGATGACGACTGCGAGGGTTGATATCGCATTTGAAGGGGTTTGGGCAGGTGGCCACGCCCTGAACATCAAACGCCATCAGTAGAAACTCGAGCTTCTGGTTGAATAGCGTACCTCGGAGTAGTCCCATACATCAGGTTCGATCATAGCACCGGTGGCGTCTCTAGCCTTCATGAAATCGAATCCCCATAATAGATTCATAGTGTTGATCGCCTTTCGGAATATTTAGTATATCATGATACGCGAGGAGTGTGAATTACTCACGATAGAGTTCCTCGCTAGGTTCATTCCGGGACAGACACGCTAGCATGAACAGTCAGCAGGGGACTTCGATACACGCGTCATTCTAAGACTCGCCCTGCCAGCCCCGAACGCGAGATCAAGTAGTTTTTCTTTCTCCGGGTTCTCCAAGAATCGAGACGGATTGTACGTCTCCGGGTCTTTGAAGATTGTCTCGTCATGGAAGACCCCATCTGGACATGTCGACAATTAGCCCAGACGCTACCGACATAAGACAAGCACTTACATGTATTAACGAACAGGATCGCCCCCTTGGGAATGGTGTATTGTCCATACTGCATGAAGAAATAACTCAAGTGAAAACGGGAACTCTGTGTGTGCTTTGTCCAAACACACGTTGAAGCCCGCAGTGGCCGCATGGGGAACGGCGAGTGGCGCCACAGGTCGATATCGATGTGTCTACGAGTCAATCAGGAATTCGAACACTGCGCACGGTGCTTGTCGCGTCACCTCGAGTATCACCGCTCGTACGTATGGGAGATCCTCGAGGTCCTCGAGGATCGGCATACGATCAGTGCCTACAACAGCATCAAGCTCCACTTGAGCCTTTCGTTGCACCTGCGGGTGAGCTACAAGGAGTAGGACGAGGGTCTGTATGAAAGCCGATGTCGTGTCAGACCCTGCTTCGATCAGGACGCCTCCAAGGTAGCTGAATGAAGACTCCGTTTGTCATTACATTTGACGGTGAATAGGTCGTGCACGCACCCTGTGAGTTCGCGGTCGAGTCCCCATTCCTGCGCTCTGGCACAGACAGTCTCCATGAAGCACCCGTTCCCATTCCCTTGGTCCGAGCGCGCTTCTACCTCGTCCAGCAGACCGAAGTATAGTTGCCGCTGAATGATGCGCACCTTCTTACACAGCCTCCTCCAGGAGGCAAAGGGGCCGGGAATGCACCGCAAAGCGGGAAACATCTCGATGAGTGGGTGCGCGCCGGGAGACAAGATGTTGACCCATAGCTCGAGCATCTTGAAGAGGGCGGTTGCTTCGGGCGAAGCGTATCGAGGCACTCGCTTGCCATAGAGGACGGACATTATAACCGAGAATGAATATCGACGTATGGACGTGGCGAAGCCCTGGAAAGGCGAACGTCAGCGGTGAATTGACACACGTGTCTCGGATCGTACTCCAGGGTCTGTCAATAAATCATGCGAGAGCTGGACCGCTTCCGCTTGCTGTATGGCAAGATGGTCTAGGCAAGCCTGTGCCGTGAGGATGCCGTGTGCACCGCGACGAAGTGAGCGCCATGTATCCGCTGGAACAGCTATCACTAAGGGCAGTAATACAGCTCAAAATGACGAAGACCGACTATAGTGAGCTCTGCCAAGGATGATTTAGTACGATGTCTCATGTCAGAAGACGAGCGACACACAATACGAGGTTATGATCGTCCCCTGTAACCAAGCGAGCAATATAGTTGTCAGGACGATCAGAGGTAAGTGCTGAGTTCTTTTCCAGGATTTGTTGAATGGCCAACGGTGATGTCAGAACAATGGCCGTCGTCGGACCTAAGTACAAAGTGTAAATCTCTCCATATTGACGAGCCCACTTTGTGAATCTGAAGATTGTACAAAGTTGACACTGCCCATTCAACAGAAAAGAAGAACCCAACTGGTAATGAACATCCTTGGTGGGAAAAATGTGCAGGTTTCCCAGTAGGGGTAACGGAGGAGGACTGGGCGGCAATGTCTGGTTAGTATGTCTGCGAGTGATCCATTTCTTTGCCGTGAGGAAGAGAAAAGCAAGACCCGCAAGTACCAGTAAGAGCTGGGTATTCAGCATCATAACGCCAACCGCGTTCAGAGGTATAAAGTGCGAGTCCACATGTGAAGTTCTCCTTTCTACAAATGCCACTTTATGCATCATGCAAGGCAAATCCTGAGCAGCCAAAAGCGTTACAACAATTCATATATTGACAACCGTACCATTCGGTCACGTATCAACCAACTGGAGCCAAATACTCCAACTTGCCGTAAGTTCAGGGTCGTTGAGCACATAAATGGAGAATATGACAAGCCATAGAAGCATGAGTCAGAACTATCAATCACCATGATTACGGACAACGGAGTCGAACACATTGGGTTCAGTAAGACGCTCGTCGAAATTCTGCTTATGGCCGATCAGATCCATCGGGGCGCCAATATCAGGGTCCTTGCAGGCTATATCCGCCGCTCGAGTATCTCAACCGCCTAGCAATTTCTGGCAAACCAACGTGATTGATGGCCTAGCCGTACAATCACTGTGACAAGCCTCACTTTAGCAACATCATATGATCATGGCTGTTCGCTGACGTATACTCCTGACTCGTGCATCAACGTTTAGCGGTCAACGGTCAGTGGAATTTCTCTAGACATTCTTACTGACCCGCATAACCGATCGCAATCACGTTATCAACTTACCTTCAATGGGGTAAGTATGTGTCTTCATCATTATACCTGACATCGCGGCGCAGCGGAAATAGCTGCCACCCGAGTGTACCTCAAGCACCCGCACACACCGGTCGGACTGTCAGAGAGCTGCGTCCCATCTGTGTCATCGACACACGGCGTGAATCACGGTACGAGACATGAAACGTATGAAACGACGACAGCGACTCCGCAAACGTGTATGTCAGTCTCTTTGCAGTATTCTCGCAACTACTAAAGTTCGCAGCGGCAAGTCCAGGCTTTAGCCAAACTACTAGAAGTCCTCTGCCCGTAGCTGGGAACCCATGTTACTTGCCACGCTTTTTCTCATCCTCCATAGCACCATGGGAAGCATTGCTTCTCAGGTTTGCAAGTGCATCCCTGGGAGTCCGTGTTTCCCTTCACAAGAGGAGTTGGACTTGTTGTCGTCGAATCTGAGCCATCCACTTGTGGTCGGACAAAGGCCCTTCGCATCTGTCTGCTATAATAGTGCTGCCGGCTATGATTCTCTGGCCTGCCAGGAGGCCACGGCTAACCAGTTCAGTATAGAGATCCGAGCGGCCTCGAGTAACACTCTGCAATGGGTGAATTTCGAAGATTACATCACCACAAGCACAGTACAGCAATGCCCATTCAATCAAACTAATGGCGACCTTTGCTACCAAGGACGTGTGCCTTCATATGCAATCAATGTTACAACGGTCGAGGATATACAAGCAACGATCCGGTTCGCCTCCAAGTATAACCTGCGCTTGGTTGTTAAAAACACTGGGTTAGTATTCATTACCTGCAATCTTATGCGATGTATCACGGTAGGTATTAGGCACGAGTTGATGGGACGTCCGTTCGGCATTGGCGCAATCGAGCTGTTCATGCACCATATGAAAGGCACCAATTTCACCGATAATTTTGTGCCTATTGGCACAGCCGCCGACGACACGGATAGTCAACCCGGTATGTGCTCATGCGCTCTGAGGGTCCGAACTGGTTCAAACCCATCTGCTAGCCGTGACGATAGGTCCAGGCGTACAGTGGGCAGATCTATACCTGGCGGCGCAAGAGCACAATAGATCCGTCGCAGGTGGCTTCGTTCCACATGGGACAGTCGGCGCAGGCGCAGGCTGGCCAATGGGAGGTGGACATAGCCCCCTCTCCCCATTCTTTGGTCTCGGTATGACATTGTTCTACCCGCTATAACTGTGTTCAAACGTATAATGCAAATGCAGGGGTCGACAACGTCCTGCAGTATACTGTGGTACTTCCGAATGCCTCTCATGTCGTCGCGAACCAGTACATCCACCCTGATCTCTTCTGGGCTTTGCGCGGCGGGGGTGGACCTAGCTTCGGTGTCGCGACATCGCTCACATATCGCACGCACCCCAATTACCCGTACACTGGTGCATTCTACGTCGCGAGTGCCCACTCATCTACATCGTTCCATGCACTGCTGGCACTCTGGGTCAAGCACCATAACGACGTCGCGGACGCAGGATGGGCGGGTACATGGCCGTGGTCGAACAACACGCTATATCTCACGCTCTTGGCACAGGGCCTGCCAGCTACGCAGACGGCTAACACCACGCTCGAGGCGTTTTTCGCGGCGTCTCGCGCGCTCCCTGGTGTCAATGTGTCGCTAGCGCTGACCGTCCCGTACACATCTTTCTACGAGTTTTACTTCGATAACCTCGTCGACGGCTCCCTAGGGTTTGGGATGAACTACACCGCGGGAGAACAGGGAGGGATTAATCAAGCGACGAGCTCGTGGTTGGTCCCTCGCGAGATCTACGACACGAACTCAAGCACACTCGCGGATGCGCTAGCCAACATGCCTTCCGGCAGCGCATTGTATGTCCACCAGTCACTTTTAAACACCTCGATTACTGACACGGGTTGTCGGTGAATGAGCTTGGTCGGAGGACTTGCTGTTTCACAGGTAAATCCGAATGCAACGGCGGTCACTCCGGCTTGGCGGCGGACCATCTCCGACATTGTCATTGATACCTCCTGGGAATCTACGTCTGACCCCACCGTGATCGCCAACATCAGACAGAACGTGTATGATCAGATTGAACCCCTGCGAAAGCTCGCACCTGTCCCTTACGGCGGTCAATATCTCAATGAAGCAAGCGCAATCCGTCCTCTCCGAGTTCATTATGCTAATATTCTCATTATAGCCGGATATCCTAGAGGTGAACTGGCAAGGCGCATACTGGGGCAGCAATTATCCTCGGCTCTTGTCGATCAAGAGGCAGATTGACCCCGACGATCTCCTTATCGTACAAAAGGGCGTGAACTCAGAAGACTGGGACCATGAAATCATCTGTAAAACCGTATGAGTGTCTGGATTTGGAGACTGGTGCTACACCGCCAGGGATGTCTCAGTATCAAAAGTGCTACTGGCTTATCTGTATGCAAAATTATACGCACGTTAATGCATACCGCACTGTCTATATTAGGTATGAAATACAATCGCCATTGACAAGGTGGGACTCATAGCCTAGAGGGGCGTATCGTCTAGGGAATCACGTGTGAGCATGGTCCGCATTCTCTTCCTGGGATTCTCAGGGCTCAGCGCAAAACATCGTCTTTCCGCACCATTTCGCAGCTTTTTTTCCCCATCCAGTTTTATATCCGCTGGAGGCATTGCCCTATGCCGGATAATACATGCGGGTGTGGCACGTAGCGGGAAAGTCAAGGGATCTGTGGCTGACAGGTAGCATGGGGGGTTGGAGCGCGAGCGAACTATCGTGCGTTTACTGGGGCGTAGCTAATCTGGAAGGACGGTACTTGGGCTGGCATAACAAAGGGGCCGGGCGAGGGCGTAGTAAAGAGCATGAGCGCAAACAGGAGTGTGAGTAGATGTAAGTAAGTAGAGAATCAAGTTCTGTATAGTAATAATAAGATCGAGTCATCGGGAGGGTACGGGCATGTGTGAAAAAGAGAAAAACTGGATAAACGGGGGGAAAGTGAGTTGTGGAGCACGGTCTGCGAATGCTGTTCGTATCCTTTTGCGAGGTTACTGAGGTCAAGCGCGATCGTTCCGTCCGGCCGCGAAGCGGCCGGTCGCCTTGACGTATTCGAAGAGGAGTGGGAGAACGTCGGGGTCATTGAGTAAAGTTCGCATCTGTAGGCTTGAAGGAGGGAGAGCGCGTCGTAGCGGAGCGCGAGCGCGTCGCCAATTCGGGTATTTGAGTAGGTAGTAATGGGGTACTGTCTCGTCGTCTGTGCGACATGAGCACCGAGCGGAGTCGGCCTTGCCGAGTCGGAAAAGATGGCGATTCAGGGGCGCATGTCCTGAGCGCAACTGGACGAGGATGCTGGTCTGTCGTTTGGGGAGGGTGCCAGCAAGGTTGATGAACTTCTTCGAGGGGAGCGAAGAGTCGATCCGGCGAGTTCTAGCGTAGCGGGCTCTCCATTGAGTGAGTGCATCTCGTTTAAGATCGGCCGCACATTTCGCAGCTTGTTCGTAGGTGCACGCCAGTATGATAGGGCTCTCATCGGCGCATACTTACGTAAAGTCAGACTATACACTTACCTACCAGTCTCCACATTGGAACGCCCAACTCCGCTATATGCTATCCAAGGTCTTGAAAGTCTTCAACGCCTACAATCGATTATGTCATGTATATTCTCATTGAAATAGCCAAGGCAAGCTGCGCATTACACGATGGTCGTGACCCGGAGTACGTTGAACGTCAAACTAGGGTTTGATCATCTTTTCCGTACGTGTTCATCCTTTATAAAATAGGGCCTGTCTCAGAAGACTCGATGACAGGACGTGGGACGGAGGGCTCACAACTTCGAGCCTCGCAACTCCAGAGTGAGAAGTTGCGAAGCCTGCATATTGGGAAATATAGTTCTACATACACCGACACATTAACGTTCACTTATGTCACTATCACCAGGTTGATCTGGAACAACGCTTGCGATTCCGAATGTATTTGTATTTGTAGACCTACCACGTCTCGGACATGTCGCTCGAAAGGCAGCTGTCTCAGAGATCAGCCCTGCAAGATCGCCTGCAGCCTCACGAGGCTTATGCGGCTGCATTTCGGCGCCTCGCCAAGTGGTTCTGTGCATTTGTGATGGCCTCCACATTAGTGATGTGCAAGGCCCGGCTCGGCCTGAAAGCCGGGGCTACGGCCTGGCTTGAGGCGGCTTGGGCTTGCCAAAATCTCAGGCCGGGCCTTAGTAGACGGCTCAGGCTTGGCCCGGCCCGGCTCGGGCTCAGGCCGCGGCTTGTTAGCAAGGAAGTGTGTTTATGTGGACGAGCAACAAAGCTTACCATTGTTATCAGTGATTTCGAAGACATCAACCTCGAGCCTCCTCTCTCTCTGTAGTATATCCCAGACCACCTTGAAGAGGCTCGATCTCAGTGGTAGGTAAAATATCAAAGCAGTGTTCAAAGAGCGCACCTGAGATACTGAATTGATAATGTTTACTGATGGTTCTGCTGCGTCCAAAGTATCAGCAAGCCTTCGCTGCCGGACATCTTGCCCAGAATCTCATCACATGTAGTTATGAGCTTCCATATTTAGATGAAATGCTTACATAAATACTATGCAATATTGTTACATATGGTAATATACCAAAGCCGCCGGCTCACGGCTCGGCATCGGCTTTCACAAATCGCAGGCCGGGCCCTGAGCCGCCACTGCATGCAGGAATCAATTTTCTTGCACAAAATATTGAATCAAAATTGAATTGAAATCGAATAGCACCTATCGAATCTTACTGATGTAGAAATTGAATGGAAACTGAAGGAAAATCGAAGAAAAATTTAAAGAGACAATGGAAAATGGATTACATAATCGATTTTCCTTCGATTTCACTTCCGTATTAGGCGCCAGAGTACTGATTAGATAAATTAACTTTTCTTTCGATTTTCATTTGATTTCTTGTACTAGAAAATTGAATACCGCATGCAGTGCGCCATAGGCCGCCCTGCCGTCCCGGCTTGGCTCGGGCCACAGAGCTCGGCTCGGCCCGGCTTGAGGGCTCCGAGCCGGGCCTTGCACATCACTACTGCACATCTGCAGCCTGCTCGAAGCGGGGCCCCATATCAAGCACATCCGACGGCGCTCACCCGATCAGAAGATGCAGGGACAAGGTTGGCACACCGTTTCCTGGATAGGTCGAGCGTGCGATGCCATGATTAGGCACAGCAGCCGTGGTTAAGCTCTGTTTCACCGCCGGAACAGACCCTGGCCACGGGCGCGACCTATCTCCACGCTCGACCGGAGTGTGTGGTAAGTTACTGTTGCAGTACAGGAGGACGGCCAGAAGTAACACTGAATGATACTAGAAGATCAGGATGTTCGATTGCGGCAATGCGCCCTTCTCAGGGTCCGACATTCACCAGATACCGTCGTAGACCCGAAGTTCAAATGAAGTTGCCCCCGATCATCACGGGTGCACTCAACGAGAACGACCGTGATATGTGTGCGTGCAAACCCAATCCACAGACGTAGGGACCCCGAGCTGAGACCCTCATGCGCATCGGGTTACTGAGAAGCAGAACGGGACTGGGCGTCCGTTCGTAATCTACAGCTGCGCGCCCCTCA